GCTCTACAAAGTTTGCCATAACTGCTGTAGACTCTATCACTTAATTGCTTGTGATTTTATGTGTACTACTTAATCTTACTTCTACTCAAGGTTTTCAAAAGTGAAATAAGGAGAATCACTTATCTCAGCAGTGTTTTTCAGTTTTAAATCAATTGATTCCCTGAACATATTTTTTTTTTATTTTAAAGAGTAGTAAATGAGAAACAAGAAATAGAACGGTAGCAACATACCAGTATCACAAACATAAACAAATCAACGCAAGAACATTCAAAATGATACAGAGTCTCAAGACAAAATAATATGAATCAACAGTGGTTGTTACATTACATATCACTATCCTCAATTACATTGCTCAGGGCGTGGTGGCTCATGCCTGTAATCCCACCACTTAGGAGACTGAGGCAGGAGGATCTTTGTGAGTTCGAGAGCAGCCTGGGCTACAAAGTGAGCTCAAGGCCAGTCTGAAGTGCATAGGGAGACCCTGTCTCAAAAACACCAAAAAATAAATAAATAAAAAAAAAAAATAATAAAAAAAAATGAAAGATTGCTCAAACACTATAGGGAATAAGAAAATAAACAGTCCCACACTCTAGCTCCTGAAAATATTTTTGAAAAGTATCTGGCACAAACTTTGATGCTCAGTAAATATTGGGTATTATTCTGATTATGTACTCCTGGATATAAAACTTCCCTAAAATATAGTGGCTTAAAAAAACAATGCATTCATTTTTATTCATTATACTGTGGGCTAACTTGGATAATTCTCACTTGGGTTCTTTATGCAGCTGAAGTCAAATAGCAGCCAAACATCAAATCATAGGAATGATTTCCTCAGTCACAGCATGATATCTAGGATGGGAAGTTTCCAAAGGCAATCGTTGTTTGAGGATCTTTCTATGTCCATGTGGTTACCGTGAGCTTTCTGATGACATGGCAGTGTTAGATGTCAGACTTCTTAACATAGCAACTGGCTTTCCTGAGTAAGCATTTCAAGTGAAAAGACTTAGAAAGAGTAAGTCTATTAATGCCTAGTACATAACCCAGCATGGTGTTATTTCTGCCATACTCTATTAGTCAAAGCATTTGTAAAGTCCACTCAGATTTAAGAAGAGGGGATATAAATCTCACCTCAATGGGAGGAGTGTCAAAGGATCATGGTCATCCTTAAACACCACATATACTGACATCATTTGGTAGTCCATTTAGTGAATTATATCTTTCTATATATTCTTGGCAGTTAAAACACCACTGTGGAGTTCAATTTCTTGAGCCTAAGGTCTTTCTATTAAGGTATTTAAAAATGTGATCTTTTTATAATTGATCTTATAATCACTACAGAATTGTAGCTTATGAAAAATAGCCCAGGCTATTATTTCCCTTTGACCTGCATTACTTGAGGTGTTGTTGTTCACTGAAACCACTTAATAGTTCAGGGCCAATTCCAAATGAGCAGAGAATTACTTATCCTGTAGTAAAACCCATAGCAGATACGTCTACATTTATAACACATGAAGCAAGACTGTGAGGGAACTGGGTCACAGATGTTTCTCTAAGCAAGATGCTAAACTAGAGGTCATTCAGGTTCCAGTAAAAAGAATTAGCAGAGCACAAGGGTTTCTTTCTGAACCTCAGCTAAACATAACAGTACATTTTAAATCAAAAGGACTCTGAGCTTTGGAACTGTGATAGTAAGATACATCTTTGCCACTGATATTATATATTGCCTTATAATTGTCCTTTCAAGGCAGTTGACTCCAGTCTTCTGTGTGGGCTGACAATTAAGCCAATTAAATGATAATTTGAAATAAGAACTTTTGAATTAATATTTGTGGTTCAATTTCAGAAATTTAGAAACTATATAAATAAGCAGTTCACTTGATCTAAATAATTGAAGATGTCGGTTCTGTCTAATACCTTGTAAACTTTTGACTGAGAAAACGAAAGATTGCCAGGAAGCATGAAGTAGAACCTCTTATATAAATATGTAAAATATATAAAATGTTAAGGCTCCAGGGCAGTATAGTCTCGTACCACAAATTCAGTACATTTTATGAATGCTAGTATTGCCAATTATTTTAAACGTATTAATGGCCAAGACATTATTTTATGAAAATTCCTTCTAAGATGTATTTTCTTTTCACTTTTTATCCTATTAGAATCACAAAGTTATAATCTGGCCAAAGAATCACAACCCAGTAATCCAAACATTAATTTCTAAGTAAGTTGTTTTATTTATTTAAATTTCTTAAAACCCATGAAGTTTATGCACACAACACAAATGAATACTTCTTAAAATCTGCTTATCACTCATTCCTTTCCTTATATTCCATAATTACCTCTATATCTCTGCCTCCATAAGTGTCCATACATGTAGCTTCTGATCATTCACCTGGTATCTTTTTACCTGTCCTAATTTCCTCTTAGTTTTCTAGCTTAATTTCTCCTCATATTTCATTACAAAGAAAAGATCTAACTTTATCACTGACAAAATCTGCTCTAGAAATTCCTAATCGCTCCCTTCTCTATATAATATTTCTGAGTGAGAATCAAGCTGAGATTTAAAAAGGGAACAATTTTTATTGTAGAGATAGAGGGGAAAGAATTATGTAAAACAGAACAGCAGTAAAAACAGGGTGCTCTGTCCATTTCTAAGATTAAACTCTGAGAGTTAAAATGAAACAGGGATAAAAACAAAATTTATATTTTCAGACAAATTAGATTTGAAGAGATCGTGTCAGAGGAGACTGTGTTCTATTCTTTATCTGGAGAGTTCTCAGAAACTCACCTTAAAAAAGAATGTGTGTATTATTTCCTGGCATCTTGTCCAATATAGTATTTATCTCTGATTTTTAAAATTCTTGTTGTAAAAGCAGTATTTATATTTGAATTAAAATAAGTCATGATGGATTTGTTGGGTCTTGATTTCTCTATCATATACTTCTGCTTCTAGTTTCTGCTATGTTCTCCTCTAAAAATATATGAAATGTGTGTAATATCAAAATACTGACTTTAACACATGATCAAGTCAGACAGTCAACAATACTTTATCTGTTTCCTTGATCCTCCTAGATCTAATATAAGGAAATCATTTTTTACTAAGTATAACATGCAGCACACTTACTAATAAAAATAAAATAAAGTGGTCTGGGACTCTAACAGTCCAGAGAGTTAGGAAATATTAGCTTTCTGGTTTTAGGTGGCAATGGGCAAAGTGTCTGATGCTCTTCCATGTTAACCGCTTGGGGTACCCTCTGATTGTGGTCTGGTCTATACCCAGGCCTTTTGAGATGCAAGGGCCCTTGCGGCCAAAGATGGCCAAGGGTAGGATCAATGGAACATCATAGATTAAGGACACACCTCATTTTTCTGGGAAGTTGAGGCTGTCTCTGCTCTGAGGCTCATGCAAAGTAGTCTGAATACCCTTGTTGGAGCTGACTTATGGCTTACTGTATATTATAAATACATATTTCATAATTTAGCAAAACTTCTTTTAATTTTGCAATTAACATTTTCAGAAGTAATGAGCTCAAAGCAAGGGAAATGTATGTTTAATAAGGTTTTACTACTAAATACTTATCTTTAATCATGTTGATAAATAATATGTAAACTGTACAAAATATGTCAATATTCTTCAACTACTCCAAGGACAATATACTGTGAAAACCAGGAGACATAAATCTACAAAAGAGTTATCAGCACCTACTTCACAAGTTAGGTATTTTATGAAAAGTACAGGAAAATTAAGAAATTAATGAAGTGGAAGAAGGTGCATGTACATATAATGTTCTGGAATGTGTTACACATGGCTGGTTTGATTTCATTGATATCAAATATTTCAAACAGAAAATCTGGTAATTTCCAATATTATTCATTTTTTTATTCAGTGCATGCAATGAAATAAAAATTTTAGAAAATTCATTCTTCAGAAGTAAAACATTTTATTGTGAATTTTTTTAGTTTGATTATTAGAAGCACTTTAATAAACTTTAATTTTCTATGAATTTTCTGTTCATTCGTTCTATTTTTCTATTGGCATGGTTCTTCCAAATTGAATTATTTTGAATACTTGTACGTACAGCAGTAATTTTAGTCACATGTTATATTTGTTTCAAACACTTTTTACAGTTTGATGGTCATTTTTCATTTGTTCTTTTGAAATACATATTTATTTTATTTTTATGTACTTGACTTTACATTTTCTTTTTAAGTCTATGCACTTTATCATTAGGAAATATCATTCTAACTAGAAACAATATAGATTTTCAGTGTCATTTTTTGATGACTTCAACTACACAGTGTTTATGAAATCAAATTATTCCCTTCTGTGATACTGCCTGCTTTGGATTTTCTCGACTGTCTATCAGATAAATAAAAACATAAATATTGTACATATTAAGGGTTACCATGTTATGTTTCAATATGTGTATTCATTATGTAATGTTTAAATCAGGTCAAAGATATCTATTTCCTTCAACATGAAAAGTTCAGAATACTTTCTTGTGGCTTTTTAAAAGATATGGTCATCATCGTCATTCATGGCTTCAGTACTGTGAAAGAACTTCTTACTCCCACCTAACGGTAAGAACTAAAACTTCTTCCCAACTTAATGCGTTACCCATTGGTCAACCTATCTCCCTCCTTCTCTTCTTCGTACAATCTCCAGCCTCTGGTACCCACCATTCTACCCTCAATTCTACCCACCATTCCACGAGACCAGCTTTTTTATATTCTACAAGTAAGCAAGATCATGTAGTTCTACTCTGTCTGGCTAGTTTCACTGAAAACGATGGTTTCTAGTTCCACCTATATTGTTGCAAATGATAAGATTTCACGCTTTCTGGGGGTTGATTAGTATTCTATGATGTGTACATATCATGATATACAAAATCTATAGTCCGTGAAAACATATTCCATCAAGTGTATATACTACGTATTATTTTGGAACCAAGAATACTTAAATTGTCTTCCTTCAATTCCAGAGGGTCACTTGAGCGAAATTTCTCTTCTTCCAGTGGAGGTGGCAGTCAGTGATCTGATTGGTCATTTGGAAGGTGAAAATTGACCCGCCCTTTTTCCTCCGCCCACGGGAAGTGCCCGCTGTATGCCAGTCTTCCGGTCTGTAAAACTGACACATACCAACTTTTCCCCGGCGCCATTTTCTTTCCGCTGCTGCTTGTGACGACGTTGGCAAGTCTGTTGGAGGGCTTCAGTTTCTGTAAGTCCGCAGTTACAAAGGGTTACTTTAGTTCTCTTGCTGATTCCTGGCTAGTTACAAGGGATTATTTTTCTGGCCGATTCTCCTCTTATTTCTTCCAGAGGGAAAAGGGAAAGAGAGACGTTATGTTTTGTCTGTTGCGCTCACGCTAACATCTAGGACATAGAGTGAAAATAGAAAACGAAAGAAGTCCTGGTTTTGTTCTGTGTTGTTTGTTTCCGATTCAGAATTAGGAGTTGCCCCGCAGCGTCCCGGCTCTGCTATCCACTGTTCTCCTTAAATGTCTCAGGCTGGGTACAGGTTTACGGTCAGTATTCCTGGCTCACTTTCTCGCGGTACTGAGATTACGAACTACGGAGTTTTACGTCTTGGTGATTTGTGGGGTTCGGAGCGTGGGCTATGGGTACGTAGGAGACCTTTGGCTTTGGCAAGACTGGCCTGGGCGCTGACCAGTGTTCAATTGCAGGGAGTTGTCGCCATGGTGGTTTTTTCTTTCCACAGTAGAATGACTATTTTTATGTAAGCAAATATTCTTTTCTTAGAGACAGGTTTCCGTGCCTTGGCTGTAAACAAAGGCATGCAACCTTTGAGAGGCCCAGCAACTAGAATCTGACAGAGTGCTTTAAAGGATGCATTAAATGGGTTTTAATCAAATGGCCACTGCTGTTTAGCCTTGAAATCTGAACATAGAATTTTTTTTTAAGTAGCCTTGTTTGAGACAAAGTCTTGGTCATAGAGACTCCGTATGTCAGCTTTTTAGGTCTCAAGAGTGTTTCTACTATCTCTAGCAGTATTTGCAGGAAATACTTATAATGCCAAAACTGATTTTTCTTTTTTATTGTTTTACTTGCCTTCTGAGTCAAGAAAAGGAACTGCAGAAAGAGAGATCATGGAGTCATTTCTAGAAAATAGCATGTAGGTTTAAAAGTTGCCCCAACCTGACACAGTGACAGGTATCTGTAATCTCAATATTTAGGTAGAGTGAGGCAGAAGGATTACAAGTTCAAGTCATGCCTGGACAATTTAGGGAAACCTTGACTTTAAAAAATAAAAAGGATTTGGGATGTAGCTCAGTGGCAGAGTGCCCCTGGGTTCTATCTCCAGTACAAAAAACATAAAGCCTCAACAAGCAAACCGAAAACAAAAAGTTACTGCAACTTCTTAATAAATTGGCTTTGATTTTGATAATTGCATAAACTGTGACAATAACTTTGATTCTTGAGATCCAAACTGACTCTAGCCATGGGAGGTAAATATGATATTATGAAAATAGGTATCAATTTAAAAAGAACTGGAGACCCTTCTTGTTAAAAGTATATGCCTTCTTCATAATTAAAGATAAGATACAACTCAAAATTATTGCAAAAACTAAGGAAGTGAAAAGATTCATGATTGAAATGTTTTGGTTCTAGTAATTTTGTTTAGTAATTTTAGGTATTAGAGAATGTCAAACATGTCAGTGTTAATATAGAGCAATGGAGGGAGGGAAAGGAAAGAATAAAGTAAATTACAGTTGTAGAAAAGAGTTCTTTTAGGAGAAAACAGGAATAACAAACAATGAAATTTGAAGTTGAAGTAGACATCTATAAGAAAAAAATAGAGACTGAAGGGGAGCTAACTGCTGTAAAGCAGAGTATTGGGAAAGGGAGAAGTGTTTCTTACTGGATTGAAATAGGGGGCTGATCCTAAATTAATTGAAGAGAAAGAGACAAGATTGCAATGAAATGACTCTTTCAAAGACAGTCAGTAATTAAATAATTGCGAGGTCACAGAAAAGGATGTTTAAAGGCATTTAAAGTTGCATCTTAAGTACTGAAGATTAGGAAGATCTGTAGATTACACAAAGTATCACTAAGTAATTTTTAAGGTAATATAGCCATTGTCATATTTGAATATAGATACTGCTTATGGTTTGAAGAAATGTTCTCAAGATTTAAGAATCATGATTGAGATTAGCAAAATCAGTTATAATTCAAGACACTAGGCAAGAAAATAAGTTCAAGTTGAATGAGCTAGATGTCAGTCTGATGGGAGAAAAGTTTCTTGATGGAATTCTGTATCTCAGGATGTGGAAGGGAAAAGATTTGTTTGAACAGTAGGTGCTTTCAGTAAACTCTAAATTAAGCCATTTCATTGTTGGTAAAGATGACTGAGGAATTTAACAAACAGCAGTATGTTTAAAAACAAAAACTAAGATGTAGAGAAAAATAATAAGAAAGAAATATTTGTTTACAGCAAATAGCATTAATAATACGTTTTGGAGAAGAGGGCAAATTAATAAGCAGATTAAGCAGTAAAAAACTCAACTTTTTAGATGGTGTAAATAGTTACAAATTTAAAATGATTCATATAGTACAGAGAAAGATGGAAGAAAATCAAAACTAGAGGCATATTTCTTGCTATAGAAAAATGTAGCCAAAAAAAAATGCTGGTCTGTACAATTCAGGGACAAAATGCAGTGCCTGAAAGAGCACATAGAAGAGGAATTAGTTCTCACTGGGCCCCTAGGGGGTCAGGCTCCTGAAGCATCCATTGTGGCTTAAGTTCATGAATCTGTGGAGAATGATTTTCCAGCTGAAACAGATGAGATAAAACAGAGGCCTTCCTAGGTTTCACCCGTTTAGCAAGTCTATAACAACAGGCAGTAGAAAGAACCATTTTAGTGTGGGACCGAAAAATCCGCTTACTGGAGACAGTAGGCTGTACTTTTGTAAGATATAGTTCATTCCCAGTAGCACGAGAATACTGTAAACTCAGATGTAGAAGGGGAACGGACATAAAGATACTTTTAAAATGTGTTTTAGAGGAAGAAAATGTCCGTTTGGTAAAAGCTGGTAATGGTGATTACAAACTTTTACACTTACGTGAAAGGCAGGAAATTCATTCACAGTGGCATCAAGTGCACTAAGTTCATTTCCCTAGCAGATGTGATAAATCCACAGGGTTAATATTAACATATTGATAGCATTGGTGCTCTGTCATGCCCTTCCATCCTGAAGTTCCTGCCTTGGTGCTAGCCAACTGTGGACAGAATCTCTTGAAACTGAGCAAAATTAAACTCTGGTCCATTAAGTTGTGGGTGTAAGGTATTGTATCCCACCAATGCGAAAGCTGACTACTACAGATGAAATTATTAGCATAGATTATAACACAGGATATTTAAAAGCTGCAGTAGTTGGAAAAAGAGATGGATCAGTAGAGGCTTGTTAGAGTACTGGACAATACTTAGTGGAAGTGAAAGAATATGAGTTGGACCTTGTTTTGTATAAGAAGGAAAGAAAGAACATAGTGTAGCAGTTTAGTTCTTAACATGAACTAAGACCATTACTTAAAGACATGTTTTGTTAACTCTTTTCTCCCTGAATAGTGAATGATTCGGTGATTATAATGAGGTAATGTGAAGAACAACTCCTTCCTTCATGAGTTTGAGTATAGTCTTACAGTCCAGTGTGATTCATTGACTAAATGTATGGTCAGTGAATAGGAGAATATATTCTGGCAGCAATCAGTACATCAGGTTAAATCAAAGAATTTAAACCTGTTGCCCATACAATGGAATTGACACATACTTAATTTTGGTTTTTGGAACAAAAAACTCAAAAAGTAAAAATTTCTTGTGTACTTTATGAATGTAAGTAACTTCAAGATTTAGAGAAAACAATACTGTTTACATAGGAAAGAGAGAAATTAATCTTTATGCATATTTGGATATTGGCCAATGAGTGCATCTAAGAGGAAGATCCTTGTGGACATTGAATATGTGGTCCTGAAATGCCAGGCAGTTGTTGAAGGTTGAGGGTTCAGTGCTTTAAAGAGGCAGTAGTCATAATGGAGTTACAAGGCCCGTGTAGAGTTTAGAGGAAGCCCTTAGAGCATTAAGAAGAGTGACAGGTGCATTTAGAGAACAGAGGAGTATAACTAAGGAACGTGAAAAAGAATGATGTAAGGTTCATGTGGTTAGCAATATCAGATATTTACATGAAGTAGGAGAAAATAACGTCTGAGAAATCATCACTAATCTGGTTTACGGTGTTACCTAGGACGGGGGGAAGGCGTGTAATAGAGACCTGAACTCTTAGTTTTAAATACACAGTTTACACAGTTGTCACCCATTTTTGCAGACTACTTTGTCACATAAATTGAGAATGGGCTATTTAGTTTGAGTCCCAGAAGGGTAAGGATGTGGGTGAGGATGAGTTGTCAGCCTTAGCGATAACCCTCAGGGGTTCCTATGAGAGAATGTCTGAGCGGGGACAGTAAATGGGCTGGTTCTTAACTTAGTGTTGTTTGATCCTAGTCTGTAGGGTGAACTGTTTCTTACCAGAAGCCTGAGTATTGTCTATTAAATGAGGATCAGTAAAGGAAACTTGGAGAAATACAACTTTTTCTGATACTCAAGAAGAAAGGTGCTTAGGATTCTCCTGACACAGAGAGAATCTAGCAGAGCTGGTGTTGGATTAATTTTATTTACATGGATAAAAACAAAGCAAAAAAGAAATTTGCGGAGATGTCAAACCCCCACCTTTTTCTTTTCTTTTGTCTTAAGGCCTGAAACAAGGAAGGTGGCTGGACAAAAAGGGAATCACAACCTGAATTTTAGAAAAAAATCTAACAGTTCATGACAGAGTCCACAGCCTGAGTGACCTGTATTCCCAGACAGTTGCCCCTGTCATGACCCCATTTGTTTCTGGTTCAGTTGTCTGTGCCCCTGGGGTGAGGCTAAAATAGAGGACAATTGGGAAGCCAGCCTCCGACTGCAAAATAAACCTTCAGTTGTCATTTTAATGGCCGTACCATTTCACCTTAATTTAATTTCCCTACCTCCAAGAATATATCTTGTTTTGTAAGTTCACAAGCTGACACATCATCCAGAGACTATTTATTTTCCCTATCTCCTTCACACAAAAGCTGAGATTATTCTTGCAGTAGTAATCAAGATCTTCTGTCTTTGGGTTGCAAAGAAAATGCATTCAACTGTACTTGAAAGAGAAAATTGAAAT